GACTCGAACCCTACAGTTGCAGAGCTAGTCTTGCAAATGCCTCTTTGCGTATTGGAATTTAGCACACAATGTGACAAACTTTTTAAACAAACTTGCCAGCGGACCGGTGGATCTAACGCGCAATGAGCTGGTTTCCATGTGGAGCACGCATTCCTGGTAGACCTCGAAACACTTGGACTACGCATCACGCTTTTCTGGAATTGACAGCTGGAATGAGTGTGTCAGCAGGTTGTGGGAGGCGTTTTGAGGCGACTGGTCGCGCGCGCATTGGCCAAACATTTTGGCGCCGCTATCCAGGAAACTTTCCTGCCGGACCAGTTTGGGCTCAGCATGCGGGCAGGCACGGCCCTTTATGCCCGCGCCGGTGACAAGCGCACGCTTGAGACAGATGCCGCATCTCGAGCGCTGCTGCTGTCACAGGTTGGGCCACACGCTGCGCGGGCTTTCGGAGTCTGCCTATAACCCTAGCTGAGGTAACGATACCTTCCCCACCCTTCCGCGGCATGCTGCTACCAGCGCTTCACCTGCCGCTGCCCGTCGCACCGCGCACGTGCGCCTGCCGCGGCCGCCTGGACCGCCTCGGTGACCACAGGGCTGCATGTGCGACATCCGGTGTGCTCGCATCTCGAGCCCTTCTTTTCGAGCGGGCGGTGGCGAGGGTGTGTCAAGAAGCCGGAGCGCGGGTCGCCCGCAACGTTCGCGTTGCGGACATGACCATCGATGTGCCGGTTTCCGACGACTGCCGCATCGAAGTTGTTGCGAACGGGCTGTCCTTGTCGCACGTCGCGCAGCAGGCTATCGATGCCACCATCGTCAGCCCCGTCATGCGGGCGGGTGGGCCCGGCGCTGACGTGCACCCCGGCCGTGTTGTTGATTTCGCCGCTCGACGCAAACGCCACGAAACCTACTCTGAGCTGGTGCGCGCCCGCCGCTGCCGCTTGGTGGTCGTTGGTGTTGACGTCGGAGGCCGTTTGGCAGCTCGCTGACTCGCTGGGCAGCGTGCCTTGGAGACGCAGGCGTCCGCGCGAGAATCTGAGGGTGCCGCGTGGGGTGCCCCGCATCCTTGCTGGAGCTCCCACTCGCTGGCGGAAAAGCGCCCGAGCTTCACGAAGTCCTCGCCGACGTGCGCTGGCAGCTGGCAGCTTCCGGTGACTGGCCGCCGCTAGGGGCCTCATGAGTGCCTCAGCCGCTAGGGGCCTCATGAGTGCCTCGGCAGGAACGCCTCGGTAGGACTAGTCAGGGCTAGGTAGGCATGGACGGGTGGAACTTTGGGCTGGCGCCACACAACAACCCGAGCTTGGAAACCTTCCCTGCTGGTCCCACGACTGCTCCTCTTCCCAAGCATTCGCAGCTCAATCGAGCGCGAGGCGCTGCTCCGGCAGAGGTCTACTTCGTGATCTCGTGCAGGCTTGTACTCTTCAGGTTTCCCTCATGCAAACACCATCCACACACACACACACCAGAAGAATATGATATAGATAGCAGAGGACCGAGATGTATGAGCCCGGGGTTGGGGTGGTGATTCCATTCTCACCAAATCATTTCCTGTCAGAACACCCACCCAGACCCCTCCGAGCGGGTCCTTTTATGGGCTTTCTGCCCTGCGTATGCCGATTTGTATATGGTCCTACAAAGGTTTTTCCCGAGGCATACTCCGCTTCAGCAAGGGAGGTGTCTGAGGGATCTCTTCGCCTTTGCTGTCAAGCTTTGCTGAATTCACCGACGGAGGTTTTTCACGGTCATCGTTGTGCTCAAGGAGGTGATGTCGAGTACAATGCAGCAAGAGCCAGTGACAGACGATGTACGACTCCAGGCTGCGGCCATACCTTGTGAACCATACATACGTTCACGGAATTGTGGTTCAACACCCCCAGACCGAAACCCTAGACCCACACCCGAAACCCCGAACCCGACACCCTACACCACTCTTTTTAGGAACCCTCGCAGCTCGTAAGCTCCTGTCTTGGGCAAGCAGCCGTGTGTGGATGGCCATGTCCCGGTTTAGGGTGTTGGGTTTCGGGCTGAGGGTCTAGGGTTTGGAGTCCAGGGTTTAGGATCTAGAGTTTACAGCCTAGGGTCTAAGGTTTGAGGTTTAGGGTTTAAGGTTAGGTCTTTTGGGTAATTTAAACTTCAAATCCGTATAACCGTACACCTCGTATATACAAGGACACTATATGCCTCTAAGCCCTAGCCTTCAACTTCGCCTTAAAGACGAGAAACTCCTTTAATCCCGGTGCCAGCGCCCCTGTGAAATTATGCACGAACCCTACCCAGGAAATTTGTGTGGAAATGGTTGAACGGTTAATCAATCCGGAACCATCGTTTTTTTTATCGCATGTCATAAAAACTTGCGAGCGCAAATTTGGTGAATGTCGTCGAATGGAGGCTCAGTCAACGGCCATCTTACACGTGGAAGTCTGCAGGTTTTTACTTGGCTCAACTCCACAACCCACCAGGAGGCGGTTGGTTTCCCTTCTGTGTGTTTCTCGGTTGCAGCATGGCCAGGTCAGTATGTCTGGGTTTTGGATCGTTCTGGAGGTTGTGGCACTTGCATCATTGGGAACAGCCCGAGGTTCCACGATGGGGTTGAACATTGAAGCAAGCGGCATGCTGACTGGACCTGTCTTGATCTGAGATGTAAAGTTTTCAGAGCAAGCTTCGAGGTGATTTGCTGTGTGTGGGCGTGCTGCGTGTGCTTCTACCGAGCTTTCGCAGGTGACCGCAAGCGTCCTAGACAAGCGTGATTTGCTTCGATTGTGGAATCAAGCCGGCAAGCTCCAATGTGGCAGCGGTTTGGACGGCTGCTTCGATGAATGTCAGCCGTCCAATCCACAAGAACGTGAATCGACATATCGAGGTAATGGATGCATGAGTGTTGAGTGTTCGTAGGGTTTGTTGCGCTTAGCCCGACAAGGCTCGCCACGAGCCCGGGCAGGCTCAGAGTCGACGGCTTCGCCACGTCGGGCGGAGGCTGCTTCGCTTCTGTGCTTAGCTGCCTGCCAATTGCCGATGGTGTGCATGTCAGGATGAGACGCTATCCGAGCTGACATGGAACCCGCTTGACCTAAGTCCGGATTTCGTTCTATCGCACGGGCTTGAAGAAGGCCATGAAGGCCATGCCATTCCGAGAAGCACCGTTGTTTGCTTTCGCCTGGCTGGGAAAACATGTTGCAACACTTCCCCTCGGCCCAGACACGGAGCTGGCATGGGACCCAATCGGGATGGCTTTGCCAGACAAGTTGCGGTTACGAGACTACGTCGATCACGAGGCCCTGGTCGAGGGAATGGTTGTAGCTCTGTAGCTCGCGATGCAGCTTCCTCGCTTGTAGGTTCGGAATAGGCTCAGATTGCCACCATCGTCAGGAGCGCATTCCAGATATATGCGATGGAAGCGAGCTCCTTCTCTCGAAGCCGCCTGGGCTGGAAGATCCAGCTCAAGGCATGCTCCCGATTCCTCGGTTTGGTTCATTCAGCTGCGTCTAAGTGTTGGGCTTATGGACGTGAAGTCTCCAGGCCATGATCTGCCAGCAGATTTCTGGAGCCGCGCGACGACGGCAGGCTCCTGCTTGTGTTCAAACCCGAAAACATGAGATGCATGATCGATTCCATCAGGAACGGCCGATGCAGCTGCTGATTATGAAGGCAGCTCCGGTGATGCACTGGCGGCAGAAATGGCTGCCATGCTAGAACTGATTCAGACAGGACTCGTCAAAATTTTGGGTCGCCAGACCTGCCAGCCGCAGCCGTCCCCTCGTTTTTGTCAGGACAGTGTGTCGCGCCATGGGATTCCAGGAAGCCAAGGATTCCACCGAACCATGGCATGGAGCACAGAGATTGCCAGCATCGATCCATGGCAGGAGCTTGGCCGGCGCAGACGTGCCATGGTTGGGTGGAGACCCTATAATGGTTTTCCACACATAAATGTCCTGACCTGAAATGCTGAAGAGGTGACGCCAGATTGCCAGAAGTGCGGGGCTTGCCCCACTGGCCTCTTCCAGGCTCCTGCGCTCTCGTGCTCTCTCGACTCTCGTCTTTATCTGCCCGACCTTCGGTCAGGGCCTCCGCTCTTCAATGGCTTGCCCAAGATGCACAACTTTTGCACCTCGGACAGGGTTGGATTCATGGGCCGGGAGTGTGTTGCACTTGTGGAACACCTCCTTTTTTTTTTCCGTGTGGGTGCTTAGGTGAAAGTGTAGTACTTGGTCCTGTTTGAGACATGGGGTGAAGATGAATGAAGTCTTCGTCATCCACTTAAGCCCTGAACTGGCAGGTCCATGGTGCGGATCGGCTCGGGTTTGCTCCCACCGCTTCTGCCCACAATGTGGGGTCGCGCACTTACAATGACCATTCACGCTTGGAGACAGGAGCCTGTATTGTGGTTCTGCACTGGGTTTGCTTTCGTGCAGTTTGCGTGCAGTGCCTGGCCGCACAGCTTGAAGGTCTTCTACCCGGATTTGCAGAATGCTCCCAGCAGAACTGCCATGGACAGCAGGATTGGTTGGCAATACTGAGCACTGGAGATCAACACAGATCGAAGTTTTCCGGAGTTAGCATCAGCATGCAGAGCGGCAGGTTAACTCGTTTCCGATTCTCGGAGAAACCTGCTGCCCGGAACTTTGAAGGCTGTACAATTGCTAAGGCCGCTCTCTTGTTGCTCAAATGAGTCAGAAGCATATCCACGGCATCTTTTGCATTGAGAGCCTGGCCTGGGAAGCAATGTCGCACAGATAGCTCTCATTGGCGCATGCTGCAGGCATGCTTTCTTTGACATGCGGTTTTTCAGGTCAACGCTTGGCATGGCAGGACAGGAGTGGATGGAACAGAACTCACAGCCACTAGAGTCAGTAGAGTCTAGAGCATTTAAGCCTTCGCCAGCCAGCTGGGTCAGAATGCTCATAGCACATGTAAATACCAAGGGTTTGAAATGCAGCAGCTCCAACTTGCTCTTGGACTCTGCATAAGGAACTTGTTTCGCCACGGCTCATTGTCCGGACGGTGTCACATGTGGCAATCTCCAAGAGTGTGCAGATAGTAGTTGTGTCAAATCGGAACTAGGCAAGGGGCAAAGAGCAGTGGCGTCTTTGAATATGTGAGCACTGGTGCACGAGGTGCTAGCGGCGTCAACTGCGCAGAATTGGTGTTGGGGCTCCATCGGCCCACAGTTGAACTGCCGTCAGGTTGCCAAGGCATCTGTTCGCTTGAAATTTGGGACCAGGTCTTTGTAGGAGCTGGTGCCCGAATTTCCACGCTTCCTGGGCGGGTTTGGTGTGTGATTTCGCAGCAGACCTGATCCAAACTCGCAGCAATCTGGCATCTTCTTCTATGGACATGGAGGACTTCAAGATGGCAAGCCCGCTCCAACAAGTGCATGAATTACCACACATATTTTATTAAAAAACTAGCGATGGAAACAGCATCGCGCCCATTGCACGTGGGCAAACTTGGGATGCAGACGATTGAACGAAAAGGTATTCTGAGCCGCTTGACCGCCTTCGGGGGAAGTGTCCCGGACATGTAAATGGATGGCATGTGACGGCTCAAAATCTTCATTTACAGAAGTTCAATTCAAGGGCCTTGTGTGAGAAGCTTGTTGTGATTGTCGATCCGCTTGTAGCACGTCTTGTGCGAACACTGTCGCCCATCGAGCAGCGACTACAGCGCCAGCCGTATGCAGCCGTGACAGAAGCATCATGCCGCGGCTCGTGAGTGGCTCGCAAATGGCTTCATGCCATTGCTGCTGCCTTTCCTAAACCCCCACACCAAACCCAAACGATGAAGGTGTATACTGGTGTATACATTTCCTGCCTCCTTGCTGCGACGTAAGTGGAATGCCTGGCTCAATGTGACCCGCTCAAGCCGGTTGCATGCGCATGATTGATCATGGCTTTCCGAAGAGTCGCTGCAAACCTCCCTCAACTTGGGAAGGCCCATGACGGTGTATGATTCAGAAGGCTGCCCGGTTGCGCAGCCCAATGCAGCCCAGCCAAGCCAAACCAAGCCATAGTCGCCGTATAGGTCCAGAGATTCCTTCAGCCATGGCCCGTCTGGGCCGCCTGGGGCTCCAGCTCCGGACCAGATGTGCGACTCGGACAGCCCAGCGGTTGGCGAAACCAACCGGGCGATAAAACGAGGAAGGGGCCCGGCCTAGATGGTCGGAAGCGTTGCGAAGGTTACGAAGACAAAGGCCAAGGCCAAGGCCAAGGACCCGGAGCAACGCCGCGAATACCTGAGAGGCCGAAAGCCTGTTGTGAAATCAGTCGGCGCTGTTCTCTTGGACGCTTCTCCAGCAGAGAGTAATCTGGGAGACGAGGAAGCCGATGCGTGCATCCACGTCTTGGTGAGTTTTGACGGACATAAATGCGACATGTCAAAGCCCGAAAGGTTGTGTGATGTCCCTGGACATGGTCATAAGGTGAAATTCGGAATCGAGGTGCCCTTTGTCATTTTTAGCGCTTGCATCCTGCCATCGGGCGACATTGTAACCGCTGGGGAAGATGGCACCTTACGTGTCTGGGATTCCGATGAGCAGCTGCAGGAGATCACGGCCCATGAGGGTGGAGCCTTGTTCGTGTCCCCTTTTCCAAGCGGTACATGCCTACTCACAGGTGGATGTGATGGGTATGCCAGGGTATGGAAAGTGGCACCTTCAGGCAGGCTGTCATCATATCTGCACATGGACCACAAGTTTGCTGTCGTGGCCGGCTGTGTGTTCCCCAATCTCAGACAAATGATTAGTTTGGGATTGGATGGGGTCGCCAAAATCTGGCGGCTGGACGACGAGCAATTTCTGACAGAAGGGGGCTGTGGACTCAGTGCTCTTGTCATCTCTCCCTATGGCAGTTGCATAATAACTGCCAGCAGCCTCGGTTCCATCGAGAAGTTTTCTGATGACGGCCAGCTGCTTTGCAAGTTTGCGGAGGGTCACGAGGGGCTGGTCAACGTGTTAATGCTCTTTCCAGATCAGTCGCGAGTCTTGACAGCCGGCGAAGATGGCCGTGGAGTGATTTGGAACGGCCGTGGCGAGCTTGCAGTCAAGCTGGAAGTGCTGACAGAGCCAGTGCTCTGCGCAGATATTTCTCCTTGTGGCAACTGGATATTGACGGGTAGCAAGCAGGGGACGGTTCGTGTTTCGAGCGCGAGAAATGGCAGAACCGTCAGCAGGTGGCAGGTCGGACAACAGGCAATGCTGTTGGCAGTCGCAGCCTGTTTTTGTTTTTTCTTGTGCTGTGTGCTGTGTGTGTGTGTGTGTTTCTCTGCAGCTTTTGGTCGGAGTGCAGGCTTGCGCCGCACCGGACGCTTCATCGGGTGCCCCCCTCGAAGTGCAGGAAAGGGCCCGCTCGGAAACCTGCAGCGTTCAGGCTCGTTGGCAGCTTTCGAGGGCTCCTGTCATCCTCAGAAGTAACTGAACATAGCTGAACCAAGAGAATCTCACAGCCCGTGGGCACTGTTTTGACTCGGAAGGCCTGCTGCTTCTGTCCTTCTGACCGGCGCTTCCTCCTCGTCGGGGCTTTCGGATTTCAGCTTTGGCAGTTCCACGCAATTGATTAAGCGTGTGTTGTCGAATCCGAGATGTCCACCGCGAGAAAACAGCTTGCACATGCCAAAGCCCAAAGCTCGCCCGCACCACATGTCATGGCAAGCCGAGAAGAGGGACACATGCCGCCGCCGCTTTTCAGCTGGATCCGACCAGTCCAAAACCACCTTCTGCATGCATGAAGTTTTAAGCCGATGTGCGTGCATGGAGTCAGGGCCAGGGGCAGTGGACCTTGTTCCCGACCCGTAGAGGCTCAAGCCGGCAACACTCGTTACCGTCCTGCCATGCCGGGCTCGCCGCCAGACCATGGCGAGCGACCATACGAGGAAACTCTCGGCATTGACGCTGGGGTGATGCGGCCCAAGGAAGTAGAGCCACATCCTGCTGCATGTCCTGTTTCCTGTGCGAAAGCGCGTGGCCAGGCCTCCCAAGCTCTGCAGCAGCTGTTGCTCGAGACACTCAGCGGCATGAAGACCATCCACACGATGGAGTTCTGCACCGGGCTGTGCTCTAGCGGCTTTCAGCTGTCATCCTGCTTCCCGATGACTGAGGCAAGAAACGAATTTGCTCGCTTCCTTCCAAGAGCTTCTGAAAGAGCAAGAGGCACGCATCAACTTGTCGCTGTTGGCCCCTGGGACGCAGATGGCGAAAATAGCTGCAAAATCAATATGGCCAATGCATGTTTCCTTTTGGTACAGTTCTTTCTCCACCTTGAAGCATTGAGCCACGGGTGCATAGCCAGTGTGACTGGTGAGGCTCCCATCTCAACTCGGGTTGTTTGTCGGACCTTGTCCTGATCGAGAGTTTCGGCTCTTTTGATGTTGACATGTTCTAGTCATGACAGTTTTTTTAGTGTTCTTCTTTGTTGTGTTTTTCACATTTCCACCCCACGTGCATCATCGACATTCTTGGGAGTCGACATCGAGTCCGAATGTGTTTTTGCACTCAGTTCGGCGGGTTCCATCTTATGTCTTGCTGCCTTCCATGCTCGGACCTTTGTTTTGTTTAATTCTTCCTTAGCTTGCCTCTCGCGTGGAATCTCCACCTTGGCTTACTTGAGGATCCGTGAGAGACTCGCAAACGTTGGCCAACCTTGCAGGCAGTTGGCAAGAGCTTGTGTGCGTCTTGGGGACTCTTGCGAACGCTGTGCGGCGATCTCGCACGAACAATCTAACTCATAGGATCACGTGGACACCAATTTTTGCTCAACGCGTTCGGAAAACATGCAGCTGCCCGTCACACCGAGTTGCCTGGTGCCCGCAGTTTTGGACCCATGGTCTGGGGTTTGGGTTTCTACACTTTCCATCTGGCAAGACAGCGGTCCAGATTGATGTCGGACTGATTCGCGCATGTGTTCACTACTTGATAGCCTTGCTTGTCACTGTACACTTTCCTGACTTTGTTGTCGTCAAGTTTTGTGACTATGCGACGGTTTACGTAGTTGTCCAAATAGTCGCACAGGCATGAACCACACAGAAGTAAAGGTGCGCAGCACAGTACCGTAGTAGTTGGAGTGGTGCTGACAATGCGAGTCAGACGGTCACCATCATCAGAATAGCAACCAAGACAGAACATTGCTTACAATCGCAATGGCCATAATGCACTTAAGGGGGTGCACGTGCTCAGGCAGGGCTTGATCGGAGGATGGATGCGCTGCTGAGTGCAACGCCCCATGGAGCTGGCAGCCAAGCTTCGGAGGGTCGTCTTGGACCTTGGAATGTGGTGCCATCAGAATATGAGATGGAGGATTCTAGTTTCTTTACAATATTCATTCTCGTCGCCGGCGTTTGCTTTCAGTGTATGACAGAACCACTCGGGGGATTCTCGCTGCGACTTCGCCATGAATCCTTCCATCATGTTGGTCAGCAATAACATGATCTCAGAAAGGATTGGCATCGTGACATGATCATTGGAACATTGGAGTTCCAGCAGCTGTGTCGTTGCTAAGGCCGTAGCGGGCAGGCCAAGTATTGACACGTTGCAGACGTTTTTGTGAGATGACGCTCTGAAGCGGTTTAGGATTTGGGGTTCAGAAACTCCCTCGGTGATGGGAGGCGAACGCTGTCTGCAGCGAAGCCAATGGACAAACCCGCACATCTCCGCGAGGAGGCGCAAGGCCAAGGCAAACCGAAGGCCAGCCCCATGGAGTGCCCGTGTGTCATGGTTCGTGTTGCTATGTGCTATTCATTCGAACATTGGTATGGCTTTGTATCAGCATTACATAGCATTCTTTCATGCCAGCCTCCTCAGTACCATCCCTACCGTTGTCATGCCCACGATGGTGAGCAGATGATGATGATGATGATGACGACGATGGTGATGCTGGTCACCACGTGCAGCGTCATGGTCATGTAGACCATCCTTGACCTTGGCCGGAAGACGATTCTTATGATGCTCATTGTTAGTTGTCTCATAATTCGTCCGACCTCTTAGTATTAGTATCCTCTGCACCTCCCTGCAGGCAGACGATGCGGATCAGTACCTTGGCATCTTCCGATTGGGCGGAGCCGGGTATAGACCGCGAGACCGATGTCTTTGTCCTTATGTCTAAGGAAGAGGGATGCCTATGGAGATCGGCAGAGCCCCTTGAAGCGATCCTTCACTAGACAATTTCACGTGGAACTGCCGCATGCGGGCGGCCAGCTCCTGTGTTGAACTTATGTTTGGGGACCTGGTTGTTTTTGATTGAACTTCCACCGCTCGTTGTATGACTCAACACAGGGACATGCGAAGATGGTGGTATGGAGAAGAGCCTGTCTTGCCGACAGACACGAGGATGCAGGCCGCTTGTTGTGTTCAGCAGTGGTTTGTGTTGATGCTTGAGAACTGAATAGCGCCGAGTGAGGCATGGGGGAAGCGAAGCCGGAAATTTTTGGAGTCCCCGACGTTTCCTGGCTGCCCAAGCCTCCAGGATTGCCAAGCTGGGGCGGGCAAGTTTGGCTTTTCCGCTTCAACCTGTCCCACCTGAGGTTTGGGAAGGCGCTTGCCGCTTTAATCTTTCTGAACTGCTGCAGCTTGGGTGCCTCGCTGGCTTCATTGACACCTTGTACATCTTGCTAAAAGCTGCCAGCACAGCTGATGGTCCAACTTTTTTGCAGTTCGGATCGCAACTCAAGGCTGGCAGGTGGATTGGGGGGTGCAGAACCACGCTTCACCGGAGCCGGCTCTTTGATGCAGTGGTGCTCAGGCGTTCATGGATCACTCTTCACTAAACCGAGGCTCATTTTGAGGTGCTGGGTGCCACTTGGCCTGACATCCCTCTCCGCATGCAGCGGTTCGTCTTTGCCGGGTCACTTGATTGCCCTGCCAGATGATGTTCACGCTGATATTCTTGGCAGAGTTTGGTATCAGATGCTTCGCGTACGGTCGAGCAATGTACATCTGTCAGAACCCGGCTCCTCAGCTGCACTTGACAGTCCTCAGAAGCCTTGAATCCGAGAGCCTCGGGCATCGAGGATGTTGGATGGAATACATTTGATGGGCTTCTGGTGCTCAGCTCCCTCGTTGATGATCCTCGCCAAAGCTGTCTCGGTGTGGGAAGATGTGCACCTTAAGCTCTCAACAGTTTGTCTTTTGACCTTACGAACCCTATAAACCCAGCTAAACCCTGCCTCAACCCTCCCCAAAACCTTGCCTAAACCCGATGTTCTTCCTTGTAACCGAGCGGTGCCGACGAGATCACGAATGAATTCTTGCTCTCACTCTCTACAATTCTTCCTACTGTGAAAACTTGGTAAAGACTAGGGTTTCCTAGTTATAGTAATTATAATAACTTAGTTTAAGCTCCTCATAGCAGCAACCGAGGAGATCATGAGCCGAGGGGCCTCTGGCATCAACGTCACCGCGCTGCGCGTCCTCAGGCTCGCGCGCTTGCTTCGCATCCTGAGCGGCTGGGCTCTACATGGGACAGGGGACGTTTTACAGGCTAAGTCAGAGAGTCTACGAGTCTAGAAGGGCTGTAGAAGGGTTTAAAGCAGGGTGTTGAAGGGTCTGATGAGGTTGTAACGCACCGCAACAGTTTATTGCGGGGCGTTAAAGCCTCACCAAACCTGTAGAAGAGGCAGTACGGCATGATCTTTGAAAGAGGTGCCGGAATATCATCACGGGAAACCGAGGAGTTTTTCGTGTGGTTCGCTACTTCACTGACCTCCGAGTTATGGTGAACGGCTGCTTGGCAAGCCTGAAAGCCAGTTTAAAGTCTGGCTGGAAAGACACGGGGAAGCTCTAAGGCATCTTGGTGTCTTCCAAGACACTGGTGTGGGCGCTCGTGCTTCTGTTTATGTTAATGCTGCTTGGCTCAGACGTATGTTGCAGCCTCTTAGAGTGCGCGATGGGTTCGAACCTGCACGGGAAAGCGCGGTTGCAGCCTGGAAACTGTCCTCCCGGCCTCCCTGGTCTGGCTTGGCACCTTCAAACAGAATCGAAACAAAGCAAAGAACAGGAGACGAGAATGAGATTCCGATATCATTCGGCAATATTTCGTTAGAGGGAGTGTTGACAAGTTTGGAAATACACCCGTTGCCTCAATGTGATGCTCGGATCGGCGTGAAGCCCTGCATGCCTAGCACAAAGAAAGGAAAGCAAGAACGACCCTGTTGAACAGACGAACAGAAGCTCAGGTTGTGCAAGCGGTGCATGTAAGTCAAGCATAGTACTCGCGATCAGTGTGCCTGCAAGACGTTTGCAAGGGTCATAACTATCTGCTTCTGCGTAGTGGTGCAAACAGCTCAAACTCACCTGCAGAAACGGATGACCGCGGTCTTACGCCACGAGCACCCAAACAGAGAATTCCACGACCACAGTTTTTTCCCAACAGCGTGAGCTCTGGGGTCTCCAGCCGAAACAAGGTTTGGGGGGCAGGTTCCGGGAAGGGTTCCGGACAGGTTCTGGGGAGGTTCCGGCGAGGTTCCGGGCAGCTTCCGAAGCAAGTTCTGGAAGGTTCGAAGTAGGTTCCAGGTTCATTGCGGGTGAGTGGTTCCAGGGCAGGTCTGTTTCTTCTCATAGTGCCGAGTTTCGTGAGCCTTGCAAATCGCGTGCAAATGACCCGAAAATCGTATTGAACATGCTTAAGTTTCCAGGGTCCAAAAATATGCTACCCCCCCCCCGATTGACCTACCTTTGTTGGGGGTCTAAGGAGCACCCAATAGCAATGAGTCATGACGAAAACAAAAAGAGAGACTTGAACTGAAAAACTGCGGTGATAGATATGGGGGTACGGCAAAGAGGGTACGTAGGGTAGATAGGACAGTTTCAGAATCTTCGGGTAGC